GTATCTTTGTTTTGTATAGTTTAATATTTAACAACTGTAAAACAACTGAAGAGGGACGATATGAATTCGAAATGAATCTTTAAAATAAAATGATTTACAAGACTTTATTTATCACATTGTCTTACACTAATTTTTGAATGTATTTAGATGTTTAAAATTAAAATTTTGTTGTTTAAGTAAATCTTATAGATTTTATATCTAATTGTATTTATCTTATTCCATATACTTTTTAAATATTAGACTATTGTTAAAAGATTTATAACTTGAAGCTGAGAATAATAACTTTAGTCTTCATCCAGACTTGACGTCTCTTATTTTGGATCGATAGAAGCTTTTTACTTAATGACATTTCCTTCGAAGTAGTGCAGAAAAGTACTAAAATTTTATTTTGTTTTCGCAGCAATGTCATTCAAAATTTCTAGGTTTTATTTGTTTCGAAGTGCATTAAATGTTAATCGTATGGAACTGGTTTCTTTTATATATATTTATGAAAATTTAATAAGAAATTTACGTTTATTCCATCAAACAAAAACTTTACTTAGCCTTGGAAGATGCTATTTTAGGAAATATTGACTAATTTATTAGTAGCGAAGTAAAAGTCGGGCAATTCAAGGATGTCGACAGATAACATTCCAAAATGGTTTATTTTCTCTTTATGTTTGTTAAAGTTATTTCTTCAATCTTAATTGGTTAGCATGCCATTTTGATATCTTAATTATTTGCGAAAAATGTGGATTATTTCCTGGCATTCATTTTAATTCTTATCATCGAAAAATATTTACTTTGTATGTTTTAATTGTAGGATACTTTATAACGTAAATGCTATACAAAAAACATATGCTGAAAATTCTCTTAAAATATCAAAAGTTTTTAAATATTAAATTCCATAAAATCCTACTTCATAATAACAAATACAGTATTTTAATAATAAATTGTAACTATTGTCAAGAGTTGTTGCATAATACTACGCAATACAAACACACACATCAAGTAAATTATATTCATTATTGCATTACATAAATAATCCAAGCACTGTACATCCTGCATGCATAATAACAATTTGCTATGTAAGGAATGATCAGAATAGACTTTAATCAATATCTTACAAAACTAAAAATATATATAAAGTATATATAATTTTTGAAATGCCAAATATATTTTTAATATTTTTGATTGATAAATAGCTATAAGAGAAAAATAACTGTGATGGTTTAATTTTAAAAAGGCCTGAGGTCTTTACATAATGAAGTGCCTGTCCTACATTGCAGTTCTATCACAATAACTATCATAAGTCATCTAGTAATTACAACACTTTTTTTCCTATTATATCCCCAGGATATTAGGAATTCAAATGCACAATTACAGTGCATATACAGTATATATATATTTTAACATATTTTATATAACCTGTCTCAGTTGTTGTTTATGACAAGATAATAAAATTTTAATTCTCTTATCTTAAAGTCTGATAAGAGCTTCAAAAAATAAATTTTCTTTTCTTTGAAACTGGCTTTCTAATTAGTGTCTTTAGGTATTTTTATAATAATTATAAACTTATTGATAGATTAAAATGAAAATAATTGTTTTATAGTTATTTCTTTTCGGTCACCTTTCAAGGAGAAAACAAAAAGTATTGCAAGGTCACTGCCTGTTTGAAGGTCTTCAATCTACTTTTCTTTAATAGTTCAAGTCTGGGAATGTTTTTAAATTTTAAAGGATACTTTGTCTAACTTTTGAACCGTCAAAGTGCTTATTTATATGTAAAATATATATTAAATTCTATTTTTAATTCATAAAAGTTCTTTATACAGTATTTATAATTCAAAGTCTGAGAAGAGTCTACTGCAATTTTTTAATGCTAATAAATAAATATTCTTGCATTTTATCTTTTTTTTAAATTTTAAATATAAATAAAGCTATTTGAAAGATAAATTAAATTTTTATTCTTTTCCAAGCATGTCTAAGTACAAAAAAGAAAGTAAATTCTTATCATATGAGTTGTCAGGATATGAATTTTTATATAAGAATGAAAGGTACTATTGTGAATTTTTTCTTATTAATTCTTATACAATTTGTTAGATTAATTACAATAAATACAAGGATTGTGTCTTTTATATGTATTTTATCTTATAAATATTCTTGGGAATATTTAATAGCAAAAAAATTATAAAGGCATTTAAGATAAGTAGCAAAGTAACATAATTGATGATTCTAATATTGCTATTGTTCTTGTTATTATTAAAAAATAATTATATAAAAGCGTAAAATGTATTTAATATGAGTAATTAATAAAATGCTGTTTAATGTTTTATTTTAAAATATTTTTTTCTTATATATTATAATTTTAAAATATAGAATATCATAGTTTAAATANATTATTTAAATTTAGAAAATAAATGACTTAATGTATCATTTTTGAAGGAGTATTATATAATTTGTTTAACGTGAGAGAAAGTTATTAATTTTGTATATACATGATAAAGTGAGGCTTAATAGAATACAGAAAAGAACAAGCAAATCAATAAATAAATGTAAAAAATGAAGGAGAAAATTAAGAATAAAATACAGAATTGAAGAAAAAATTGAGAAATTAATTTAAAATGAAGAAGAAAATCAACAATAAAATATAGAGATGTAGAAGAAAATCAAGAGAATAAAATACAAATATAAAGAAAAAAATTAAAAGAAAAAAGTGCACAATGAAGAAGAAAATCAGGCTTTTCAAAATTAAATATGTAATTTAACTTATATTTTCAATGTCAATTTTGAAATTTGAAAATGAAATTGAAGATTTGCAAGTTAGAAAAATATATCTCCCCTATTAATTAACTAGAAAAATAGAAGTAATTCAAGAATAATTATAATCAAGGAAAATTTACAAATTTACTTTCTAATATATAAAATAAAAGTATGGAAAATGAAGGTTATTTAGGCCATTGAAACAGTGTGAGATCTCAATTATCAAATTGAGTGTTTAAGTGTAATTAGAGAGAAAATGGATATCCTGCAATTATATCATCAGGGAATAGTAAATTATGGTATGTCTTTCAGAAATAAACATTATTAAAAAGTTTTTAGGCTCCTTCTTTAAAAAGTTTTATGCAAATTTAATGAATGAATAATACATTTATTATTTATTATTATTAATTACAATTTTCTTTAGAATATTAATTTTATTTTCTTTTATATTTTCAAGGAAAATAAAAGGAAGAATTGAAATTTATAGTATAAAGAAATGCGGAAAAACTGAGTTTATTTGAAATAAAATTTTATTTTATTTCAAATAAACTCAGTTTTTCCGCATTTCTTTATACTATAAATTTCAATTCTTCCTTTTATTTTCCTTGAAAATATAAAAGAAAATAAAATTAATATTCTAAAGAAAATTGTAATTAATAATAATAAATAATAAATGTATTATTCATTCATTAAATTTGCATAAAACTTTTTAAAGAAGGAGCCTAAAAACTTTTTAATAATGTTTATTTCTGAAAGACATACCATAATTTACTATTCCCTGATGATATAATTGCAGGATATCCATTTTCTCTCTAATTACACTTAAACACTCAATTTGATAATTGAGATCTCACACTGTTTCAATGGCCTAAATAACCTTCATTTTCCATACTTTTATTTTATATATTAGAAAGTAAATTTGTAAATTTTCCTTGATTATAATTATTCTTGAATTACTTCTATTTTTCTAGTTAATTAATAGGGGAGATATATTTTTCTAACTTGCAAATCTTCAATTTCATTTTCAAATTTCAAAATTGACATTGAAAATATAAGTTAAATTACATATTTAATTTTGAAAAGCCTGATTTTCTTCTTCATTGTGCACTTTTTTCTTTTAATTTTTTTCTTTATATTTGTATTTTATTCTCTTGATTTTCTTCTACATCTCTATATTTTATTGTTGATTTTCTTCTTCATTGTGCACTTTTTTAATTTTTTTCTTTATATTTGTATTTTATTCTCTTGATTTTCTTCTACATCTCTATATTTTATTGTTGATTTTCTTCTTCATTGTGCACTTTTTTAATTTTTTTCTTTATATTTGTATTTTATTCTCTTGATTTTCTTCTACATCTCTATATTTTATTGTTGATTTTCTTCTTCATTTTAAATTAATTTCTCAATTTTTTCTTCAATTCTGTATTTTATTCTTAATTTTCTCCTTCATTTTTTACATTTATTTATTGATTTGCTTGTTCTTTTCTGTATTCTATTAAGCCTCACTTTATCATGTATATACAAAATTAATAACTTTCTCTCACGTTAAACAAATTATATAATACTCCTTCAAAAATGATACATTAAGTCATTTATTTTCTAAATTTAAATAATGTTTAAAAGAGATGATAGACTTCTCTATATTATCATATCATTCACTTGGCAAGAATCCAGCATTTGGGTGTGGTACTATCAAAACCTGTAGCTTCTATCAAATCAAAAAACGCAATATTCTCATCAACACTAAAATAATAATAGAAAAATAAAGTTATAATCATGATTTAAGAACTTCGAAAATTGTCACGACAAGAAAATAAAAGACAGGACAAAAAAACAAAAAGGAATATTTACTAATTTCATTTTCACGGATGAAGAAGATAAATGCGTGGATTTATTATTTTTTCTTTGAATTAAAATATAAAAAGTAATGTATAAAATTCGTGTTTAAACGGCATGAAAATGCCGAGTATGGTTTTCCTGTCAGACACGCGAGTTAACTAGAAAAGCCAACTTGTATGTGTTTTCTCTTATATATTAAATATTTAACGAAAAGAATTAGCTTATCGGGTCAATTTTATCAATAAAAAAAGAGCAGAAAATAAATAAAAATAGCACAAAAACCTTGTTCTAATTCATCATATTTTAAACATAATTTTTTTAAATGTATCTTTTTTTCCCAGTTGTTAAAATTTGTAATTTACAGCGTAACACCTGCAAGAAATTACATGTTGAAGTATTGTATTAAGATAAAAGATACTCACCTGCTTCTACACACGAACGTACAGCAATATGCCCCTGAAGAGAATATCACCACTTGGCAATAGTCCAAAGCAGGAAGTCACTTCCTAATTATAATTTTAGAAAATTCTGTTGTACAAAACGGTAGTATATAGATAACTTATACTTAAATATATATATATAGATATAGATATAAACTCACCTGTACAGGTGATAGATAGAAACGAGTTAAGTTTTTATCAACAGCAACTGATAAAACGGTTTGTGGTATGTACTGCGCTTACATGGGTTAAACACGTGGGTCGAGCGAGTGAATGGCTATTGGTAGACGAAAGTCACGTGTGGATTGCAACGACACGACGCGGAAATGTCGTCAGTAAGGATCCAGTTACTATTTTGATACACAAAAATTAGGTATTACAAATTCAGGTGTGATTACCTGTCTAATTAATATGTAGGTCGAGCAGTTTTGATAATATACAACAGTTTTTTTTTCCTTCTGCTTTTCCTTATTGAACACGTGTTTACATATTCAAAGTACTAAAAAAAATTATTGTTGTTGGGTGGCATTTTAAAAGAGTTAATTAAGTTTTTTTCTTATTGGCAATTGATTTATGATGCCCCGTTTTAAATAATAAAAGAAGTAATTTATAATTTTCACGCAAAATTAATTTTTTAAGATGAGTTGAAAGGGTCTTGTTTGTAATTGTCCTATTAAACTTTACTTCAATTTGAATAGAATTGCTTTTAACATGTAACTTAATCTAGAAAATATAAAGGAAAAAAATATAGAAATTATTAAAACGTAAATAATATTGGAACGATTCTTAAAACATTGATAGAAAAGCTCAAGGACGTTTATTTGAATTTTGTCGATTGTATTTATTGTTTAACAATTGATTAACATTGATTAACATTGCACGTGTTAAACAATTGATTAACAATTGATTAACAATTGTTTAACACGTGCAATTATTGTTTAACAATTGATAAACAAAACTGTGAATGAATTATAATTTAATGTATTATTTTTTGTACTAGATTATAAATATTAGTTAGATGAATAATTATGTAGTTAATCTACATAATTATTCACATAATNCTGCTATGTACACAAAATGTTTTACTATGTACACTAAAGGTACCTAAATGTGTATATTTTATTGTCTTAGTTTTGTGATATTAAAATTGGGAATTTATTTGTACCTTTGTTTTGTATAGTTTAATATTTAACAACTGTAAAACAACTGAAGAGGGACGATATGAATTCGAAATGAATCTTTAAAATAAAATGATTTACAAGAATTTATTTATCACATTGTCTTACACTAATTTTTGAATGTATTTAGATGTTTAAAATTAAAATTTTGTTGTTTAAGTAAATCTTATAGATTTTATATCTAATTGTATTTATCTTATTCCATATACTTTTTAAATATTAGACTATTGTTAAAAGATTTATAACTTGAAGCTGAGAATAATAACTTTAGTCTTCATCCAGACTTGACGTCTCTTATTTTGGATCGATAGAAGCTTTTTACTTAATGACATTTCCTTCGAAGTAGTGCAGAAAAGTACTAAAATTTTATTTTGTTTTCGCAGCAATGTCATTCAAAATTTCTAGGTTTTATTTGTTTCGAAGTGCATTAAATGTTAATCGTATGGAACTGGTTTCTTTTATATATATTTATGAAAATTTAATAAGAAATTTACGTTTATTCCATCAAACAAAAACTTTACTTAGCCTTGGAAGATGCTATTTTAGGAAATATTGACTAATTTATTAGTAGCGAAGTAAAAGTCGGGCAATTCAAGGATGTCGACAGATAACATTCCAAAATGGTTTATTTTCTCTTTATGTTTGTTAAAGTTATTTCTTCAATCTTAATTGGTTAGCATGCCATTTTGATATCTTAATTATTTGCGAAAAATGTGGATTATTTCCTGGCATTCATTTTAATTCTTATCATCGAAAAATATTTACTTTGTATGTTTTAATTGTAGGATACTTTATAACGTAAATGCTATACAAAAAACATATGCTGAAAATTCTCTTAAAATATCAAAAGTTTTTAAATATTAAATTCCATAAAATCCTACTTCATAATAACAAATACAGTATTTTAATAATAAATTGTAACTATTGTCAAGAGTTGTTGCATAATACTACGCAATACAAACACACACATCAAGTAAATTATATTCATTATTGCATTACATAAATAATCCAAGCACTGTACATCCTGCATGCATAATAACAATTTGCTATGTAAGGAATGATCAGAATAGACTTTAATCAATATCTTACAAAACTAAAAATATATATAAAGTATATATAATTTTTGAAATGCCAAATATATTTTTAATATTTTTGATTGATAAATAGCTATAAGAGAAAAATAACTGTGATGGTTTAATTTTAAAAAGGCCTGAGGTCTTTACATAATGAAGTGCCTGTCCTACATTGCAGTTCTATCACAATAACTATCATAAGTCATCTAGTAATTACAACACTTTTTTTCCTATTATATCCCCAGGATATTAGGAATTCAAATGCACAATTACAGTGCATATACAGTATATATATATTTTAACATATTTTATATAACCTGTCTCAGTTGTTGTTTATGACAAGATAATAAAATTTTAATTCTCTTATCTTAAAGTCTGATAAGAGCTTCAAAAAATAAATTTTCTTTTCTTTGAAACTGGCTTTCTAATTAGTGTCTTTAGGTATTTTTATAATAATTATAAACGTATTGATAGATTAAAATGAAAATAATTGTTTTATAGTTATTTCTTTTCGGTCACCTTTCAAGGAGAAAACAAAAAGTATTGCAAGGTCACTGCCTGTTTGAAGGTCTTCAATCTACTTTTCTTTAATAGTTCAAGTCTGGGAATGTTTTTAAATTTTAAAGGATACTTTGTCTAACTTTTGAACCGTCAAAGTGCTTATTTATATGTAAAATATATATTAAATTCTATTTTTAATTCATAAAAGTTCTTTATACAGTATTTATAATTCAAAGTCTGAGAAGAGTCTACTGCAATTTTTTAATGCTAATAAATAAATATTCTTGCATTTTATCTTTTTTTTAAATTTTAAATATAAATAAAGCTATTTGAAAGATAAATTAAATTTTTATTCTTTTCCAAGCATGTCTAAGTACAAAAAAGAAAGTAAATTCTTATCATATGAGTTGTCAGGATATGAATTTTTATATAAGAATGAAAGGTACTATTGTGAATTTTTTCTTATTAATTCTTATACAATTTGTTAGATTAATTACAATAAATACAAGGATTGTGTCTTTTATATGTATTTTATCTTATAAATATTCTTGGGAATATTTAATAGCAAAAAAATTATAAAGGCATTTAAGATAAGTAGCAAAGTAACATAATTGATGATTCTAATATTGCTATTGTTCTTGTTATTATTAAAAAATAATTATATAAAAGCGTAAAATGTATTTAATATGAGTAATTAATAAAATGCTGTTTAATGTTTTATTTTAAAATATTTTTTTCTTATATATTATAATTTTAAAATATAGAATATCATAGTTTAAANCAATTGTTAAACAATAATTGCACGTGTTAAACAATTGTTAATCAATTGTTTAACACGTGCAATGTTAATCAATGTTAATCAATTGTTAAACAATAAATACAATCGACAAAATTCAAATAAACGTCCTTGAGCTTTTCTATCAATGTTTTAAGAATCGTTCCAATATTATTTACGTTTTAATAATTTCTATATTTTTTTCCTTTATATTTTCTAGATTAAGTTACATGTTAAAAGCAATTCTATTCAAATTGAAGTAAAGTTTAATAGGGCAATTACAAACAAGACCCTTTCAACTCATCTTAAAAAATTAATTTTGCGTGAAAATTATAAATTACTTCTTTTATTATTTAAAACGGGGCATCATAAATCAATTGCCAATAAGAAAAAAACTTAATTAACTCTTTTAAAATGCCACCCAACAACAATAATTTTTTTTAGTACTTTGAATATGTAAACACGTGTTCAATAAGGAAAAGCAGAAGGAAAAAAAAACTGTTGTATATTATCAAAACTGCTCGACCTACATATTAATTAGACAGGTAATCACACCTGAATTTGTAATACCTAATTTTTGTGTATCAAAATAGTAACTGGATCCTTACTGACGACATTTCCGCGTCGTGTCGTTGCAATCCACACGTGACTTTCGTCTACCAATAGCCATTCACTCGCTCGACCCACGTGTTTAACCCATGTAAGCGCAGTACATACCACAAACCGTTTTATCAGTTGCTGTTGATAAAAACTTAACTCGTTTCTATCTATCACCTGTACAGGTGAGTTTATATCTATATCTATATATATATATTTAAGTATAAGTTATCTATATACTACCGTTTTGTACAACAGAATTTTCTAAAATTATAATTAGGAAGTGACTTCCTGCTTTGGACTATTGCCAAGTGGTGATATTCTCTTCAGGGGCATATTGCTGTACGTTCGTGTGTAGAAGCAGGTGAGTATCTTTTATCTTAATACAATACTTCAACATGTAATTTCTTGCAGGTGTTACGCTGTAAATTACAAATTTTAACAACTGGGAAAAAAAGATACATTTAAAAAAATTATGTTTAAAATATGATGAATTAGAACAAGGTTTTTGTGCTATTTTTATTTATTTTCTGCTCTTTTTTTATTGATAAAATTGACCCGATAAGCTAATTCTTTTCGTTAAATATTTAATATATAAGAGAAAACACATACAAGTTGGCTTTTCTAGTTAACTCGCGTGTCTGACAGGAAAACCATACTCGGCATTTTCATGCCGTTTAAACACGAATTTTATACATTACTTTTTATATTTTAATTCAAAGAAAAAATAATAAATCCACGCATTTATCTTCTTCATCCGTGAAAATGAAATTAGTAAATATTCCTTTTTGTTTTTTTGTCCTGTCTTTTATTTTCTTGTCGTGAAAATTTTCGAAGTTCTTAAATCATGATTATAACTTTATTTTTCTATTATTATTTTAGTGTTGATGAGAATATTGCGTTTTTTGATTTGATAGAAGCTACAGGTTTTGATAGTACCACACCCAAATGCTGGATTCTTGCCAAGTGAATGATATGATAATATAGAGAAGTCTATCATCTCTTTTAAACATTATTTAAATTTAGAAAATAAATGACTTAATGTATCATTTTTGAAGGAGTATTATATAATTTGTTTAACGTGAGAGAAAGTTATTAATTTTGTATATACATGATAAAGTGAGGCTTAATAGAATACAGAAAAGAACAAGCAAATCAATAAATAAATGTAAAAAATGAAGGAGAAAATTAAGAATAAAATACAGAATTGAAGAAAAAATTGAGAAATTAATTTAAAATGAAGAAGAAAATCAACAATAAAATATAGAGATGTAGAAGAAAATCAAGAGAATAAAATACAAATATAAAGAAAAAAATTAAAAGAAAAAAGTGCACAATGAAGAAGAAAATCAGGCTTTTCAAAATTAAATATGTAATTTAACTTATATTTTCAATGTCAATTTTGAAATTTGAAAATGAAATTGAAGATTTGCAAGTTAGAAAAATATATCTCCCCTATTAATTAACTAGAAAAATAGAAGTAATTCAAGAATAATTATAATCAAGGAAAATTTACAAATTTACTTTCTAATATATAAAATAAAAGTATGGAAAATGAAGGTTATTTAGGCCATTGAAACAGTGTGAGATCTCAATTATCAAATTGAGTGTTTAAGTGTAATTAGAGAGAAAATGGATATCCTGCAATTATATCATCAGGGAATAGTAAATTATGGTATGTCTTTCAGAAATAAACATTATTAAAAAGTTTTTAGGCTCCTTCTTTAAAAAGTTTTATGCAAATTTAATGAATGAATAATACATTTATTATTTATTATTATTAATTACAATTTTCTTTAGAATATTAATTTTATTTTCTTTTATATTTTCAAGGAAAATAAAAGGAAGAATTGAAATTTATAGTATAAAGAAATGCGGAAAAACTGAGTTTATTTGAAATAAAATTTTATTTTATTTCAAATAAACTCAGTTTTTCCGCATTTCTTTATACTATAAATTTCAATTCTTCCTTTTATTTTCCTTGAAAATATAAAAGAAAATAAAATTAATATTCTAAAGAAAATTGTAATTAATAATAATAAATAATAAATGTATTATTCATTCATTAAATTTGCATAAAACTTTTTAAAGAAGGAGCCTAAAAACTTTTTAATAATGTTTATTTCTGAAAGACATACCATAATTTACTATTCCCTGATGATATAATTGCAGGATATCCATTTTCTCTCTAATTACACTTAAACACTCAATTTGATAATTGAGATCTCACACTGTTTCAATGGCCTAAATAACCTTCATTTTCCATACTTTTATTTTATATATTAGAAAGTAAATTTGTAAATTTTCCTTGATTATAATTATTCTTGAATTACTTCTATTTTTCTAGTTAATTAATAGGGGAGATATATTTTTCTAACTTGCAAATCTTCAATTTCATTTTCAAATTTCAAAATTGACATTGAAAATATAAGTTAAATTACATATTTAATTTTGAAAAGCCTGATTTTCTTCTTCATTGTGCACTTTTTTAATTTTTTTCTTTATATTTGTATTTTATTCTCTTGATTTTCTTCTACATCTCTATATTTTATTGTTGATTTTCTTCTTCATTTTAAATTAATTTCTCAATTTTTTCTTCAATTCTGTATTTTATTCTTAATTTTCTCCTTCATTTTTTACATTTATTTATTGATTTGCTTGTTCTTTTCTGTATTCTATTAAGCCTCACTTTATCATGTATATACAAAATTAATAACTTTCTCTCACGTTAAACAAATTATATAATACTCCTTCAAAAATGATACATTAAGTCATTTATTTTCTAAATTTAAATAATGTTTAAAAGAGATGATAGACTTCTCTATATTATCATATCATTCACTTGGCAAGAATCCAGCATTTGGGTGTGGTACTATCAAAACCTGTAGCTTCTATCAAATCAAAAAACGCAATATTCTCATCAACACTAAAATAATAATAGAAAAATAAAGTTATAATCATGATTTAAGAACTTCGAAAATTTTCACGACAAGAAAATAAAAGACAGGACAAAAAAACAAAAAGGAATATTTACTAATTTCATTTTCACGGATGAAGAAGATAAATGCGTGGATTTATTATTTTTTCTTTGAATTAAAATATAAAAAGTAATGTATAAAATTCGTGTTTAAACGGCATGAAAATGCCGAGTATGGTTTTCCTGTCAGACACGCGAGTTAACTAGAAAAGCCAACTTGTATGTGTTTTCTCTTATATATTAAATATTTAACGAAAAGAATTAGCTTATCGGGTCAATTTTATCAATAAAAAAAGAGCAGAAAATAAATAAAAATAGCACAAAAACCTTGTTCTAATTCATCATATTTTAAACATAATTTTTTTAAATGTATCTTTTTTTCCCAGTTGTTAAAATTTGTAATTTACAGCGTAACACCTGCAAGAAATTACATGTTGAAGTATTGTATTAAGATAAAAGATACTCACCTGCTTCTACACACGAACGTACAGCAATATGCCCCTGAAGAGAATATCACCACTTGGCAATAGTCCAAAGCAGGAAGTCACTTCCTAATTATAATTTTAGAAAATTCTGTTGTACAAAACGGTAGTATATAGATAACTTATACTTAAATATATATATATAGATATAGATATAAACTCACCTGTACAGGTGATAGATAGAAACGAGTTAAGTTTTTATCAACAGCAACTGATAAAACGGTTTGTGGTATGTACTGCGCTTACATGGGTTAAACACGTGGGTCGAGCGAGTGAATGGCTATTGGTAGACGAAAGTCACGTGTGGATTGCAACGACACGACGCGGAAATGTCGTCAGTAAGGATCCAGTTACTATTTTGATACACAAAAATTAGGTATTACAAATTCAGGTGTGATTACCTGTCTAATTAATATGTAGGTCGAGCAGTTTTGATAATATACAACAGTTTTTTTTTCCTTCTGCTTTTCCTTATTGAACACGTGTTTACATATTCAAAGTACTAAAAAAAATTATTGTTGTTGGGTGGCATTTTAAAAGAGTTAATTAAGTTTTTTTCTTATTGGCAATTGATTTATGATGCCCCGTTTTAAATAATAAAAGAAGTAATTTATAATTTTCACGCAAAATTAATTTTTTAAGATGAGTTGAAAGGGTCTTGTTTGTAATTGCCCTATTAAACTTTACTTCAATTTGAATAGAATTGCTTTTAACATGTAACTTAATCTAGAAAATATAAAGGAAAAAAATATAGAAATTATTAAAACGTAAATAATATTGGAACGATTCTTAAAACATTGATAGAAAAGCTCAAGGACGTTTATTTGAATTTTGTCGATTGTATTTATTGTTTAACAATTGATTAACATTGATTAACATTGCACGTGTTAAACAATTGATTAACAATTGTTTAACACGTGCAATTATTGTTTAACAATTGATAAACAAAACTGTGAATGAATTATAATTTAATGTATTATTTTTTGTACTAGATTATAAATATTAGTTAGATGAATAATTATGTAGATTAAGTTCAAAAATCAACATAATATTTTTTTTTTATAACTGATTAAAGTCAGCATGTTTACACATCAAGATCTTTGTACATTGACTTACACCTGCAAACTTTCAAATAATTATGCAATTGTTAAATAAAAGAATACATATGTGAGTTTTAGTTTTTTAAAGTTTTCTAATTGATTTTCTAATAATTAAATATTATAATGGATTTACAATATTTAATAATTGAAAAGTGAAATAGAACTTCTAAGTTTTATTATCATAAATTCTTTTTTATTAAAAAAAATTAAGCGAATAAAAATAAAATAATTTTATACGGAGTTTTATATTTTTTAAACTAATTTTTACGTCCAAAATTGTTTGTTTTCATTTTATTTTTGTCATATTGTATGAAAAATAAAGATATAAATATTTCTATTAAAATTTTATCGTTAATCTTTTATGTTTTATCGATTAATTCATTAAAGTAATACAATAAAAAACAATTATTTTTATGATATATTTTACTTAAATATATGATAAAATATATTATATATTTAATAAAAATATATTTAAAAAAATGTTTAACACTAAAATATAAGCGATTGCCTAAAGATATCGATGTATATAAATATTTTATCTGATTTATTTTTAATTTAAATAATTATTTTAATTATTAAATTCTATATAGTTTAGATTCTTCTAATTTTTAAAATTATTTCTTATTATATTTCGAATTAGTCAAAGGTTTCAGTTTGTTTTATGTTCTTGAACTTTGCTTTATTATCAAGATCAGAGTTTAATAATTCTGATCTTGCCGCTTAATTTAAAACGTCTCAATACAAAAATAATGTTTAAATAATATATTATTTTCCTTTTATTGTTCTACATTTATTTCCTACTTTTCAACCTCAATATTTAATTTTTTAACTAGTTTAAACTGTAAAATAAAAATTGATCTGAGATTTTTATCATTATAAAATGGTTAAATGGCGATAAACAATTTTAAATTAGATATTGTAATAGAATTTCTATGCAGTATAACAATTCAAATAAATTAATTAAATTTATAACCTTGCTTAGATATTAAAAATTTATATTATGAATAATAACTAAGCAACAATATAAGAACAAATAAAATTAAACTAGTTTTTAAAAAGGCTAAAATCTAAATTTAGCTTGCGTGTAACAAAGTTATCTCACGAGAGAACACGCCTAACAAGCGTATGCTCACGTTACAAGAGACATTACATTTTCTTACACTAGAAAGAGAGCAAATACAACAAGTCGACCGCGATCCCTCTGTTGATTTGTCATTCGATCTCACGTCCTTCAGTACTTTAAGTAAGAAGATCGTAACTAAAAAAGTCTGAAGAATTCTATTGTAAAGTCTATAATCTTAATTGTAAGATATATTACACTTATATCACAGTAAAAAGTTACGCGTAATCATAAGAGAATTATATATTACGTCTTCAACTCGTAGCTGGCGATTACACGGATATAATATTAAACTTTGAAAAGAATTCTTAACTTATAAATTCAATTTTAAAATACATAAATTACATTAAAAAATGAAAACAATAATTTATATTACAAAAGAGTTACACTTTCACATAATATAACCATAAATAAACGACAACGGTATAAATTTACATAACTAAATATCATTACAATATATGTTCAACAGGCAATTTATTATTACGCATGTTCTTTTCTTATTTTGGATCGATAGAAGCTTTTTACTTAATGACATTCCCTTCGAAGTAGTGCAGAAAAGTACTAAAATTTTATTTTGTTTTCGCAGCAATGTCATTCAAAATTTCTAGGTTTTATTTGTTTCGAAGTGCATTAAATGTTAATCGTATGGAACTGGTTTCTTTTATATATATTTATGAAAATTTAATAAGAAATTTACGTTTATTCCATCAAACAAAAACTTTACTTAGCCTTGGAAGATGCTATTTTAGGAAATATTGACTAATTTATTAGTAGCGAAGTAAAAGTCGGGCAATTCAAGGATGTCGACAGATAACATTCCAAAATGGTTTATTTTCTCTTTATGTTTGTTAAAGTTATTTCTTCAATCTTAATTGGTTAGCATGCCATTTTGATATCTTAATTATTTGCGAAAAATGTGGATTATTTCCTGGCATTCATTTTAATTCTTATCATCGAAAAATATTTACTTTGTATGTTTTAATTGTAGGATACTTTATAACGTAAATGCTATACAAAAAACATATGCTGAAAATTCTCTTAAAATATCAAAAGTTTTTAAATATTAAATTCCATAAAATCCTACTTCATAATAACAAATACAGTATTTTAATAATAAATTGTAACTATTGTCAAGAGTTGTTGCATAATACTACGCAATACAAACACACACATCAAGTAAATTATATTCATTATTGCATTACATAAATAATCCAAGCACTGTACATCCTGCATGCATAATAACAATTTGCTATGTAAGGAATGATCAGAATAGACTTTAATCAATATCTTACAAAACTAAAAATATATATAAAGTATATATAATTTTTGAAATGCCAAATATATTTTTAATATTTTTGATTGATAAATAGCTATAAGAGAAAAATAACTGTGATGGTTTAATTTTAAAAAGGCCTGAGGTCTTTACATAATGAAGTGCCTGTCCTACATTGCAGTTCTATCACAATAACTATCATAAGTCATCTAGTAATTACAACACTTTTTTTCCTATTATATCCCCAGGATATTAGGAATTCAAATGCACAATTACAGTGCATATACAGTATATATATATTTTAACATATTTTATATAACCTGTCTCAGTTGTTGTTTATGACAAGATAATAAAATTTTAATTCTCTTATCTTAAAGTCTGATAAGAGCTTCAAAAAATAAATTTTCTTTTCTTTGAAACTGGCTTTCTAATTAGTGTCTTTAGGTATTTTTATAATAATTATAAACGTATTGATAGATTAAAATGAAAATAATTGTTTTATAGTTATTTCTTTTCGGTCACCTTTCAAGGAGAAAACAAAAAGTATTGCAAGGTCACTGNATTTTAAATTAAATTTGAATAGTTTTTTTTTTAAATCTTAAATAAGCATTAAATAAATTTTTCAATTACTTTAATAATAATAATATTACAATAATAAAATATTTATAAAGTAATATAGAAAATAACTCAACCAGTAGATCGCGAGTACTACTGTAACGTTACGTTCTTTCGTTATAAGGAAGGTTGATAATCTTTAGAGTTGTTATCTATAGTTTCGTATAATATTTTATTACTTCTTTATATAGAACTAATAAAGTATTTTATTAATCTCTTATATATAGTAGTGCCATATAATATTAAACGAATTCTGGTAATTTCTGTTATAATTATACGCATCACTTAATCTTATTAACTAAAATTTTCTGGAACAAAGTCAATTTAGTAAATGCGTTTCACTATCCTAAACATTAAAAAAAATAAGGAAAATTATCAAGTAATAGTTTCGTGAATGAATAAATTCAGGTTTTTACGTAACTCAAATGTCATAAAACAGGATGTATAATATATTGTAACCATTACGATACTTTGTTTTCATTAATTTTGTTTTTATATTCCATAACATGTAAAAAACTTTATATTCTATTGACAATTGCTTTAAAAAAAACCTTTTTTTTAAAATAAGATTTACAGTTTGATGATATCATAAACAAGCTTACCTGGCCTTGTATTGAGATAATTGCGATCGTCCTTGAGAAAATTCTATAATTAAATTTACCTTGTACTTGCCATATTTTATATAAAACGATTTAAAATCTAGATAATGACCTAATTACAATAATTTCTGAGCTTTACTTTATAACAATAAATTATAATTTTTTTTAAATGACAGTCTTTCTTGGAAGCTTTTTATATATTTGGATGAAAACTGTCCGATCTTTGCACGGTGGATGGATGCAGATAATCTCTATCATCAACATAGTAATCAGGATAAGGTATCTGGTTTCCGTAGAACCTTTCTTGTTCTTCTCTTTGTTTTGCAAACTCTTCCTCCAATTTCTAAAATACATTAAAATTGGTTTTATACATAAACACAGACTAAGTGAAAATAATGGTATGCAATAAAAAAACAAGAACAAATATTAAATAACAAATCATTCATAAAAGTAAAGTAGTTAGACAAGTATATATTTAGGATATGTTTTCAAGATATTATGAATATGTTTAAAATTTTAATGTTTTTTATTTTCATAAACTACATTTTTATATTAGAGAAAAACCACTAAAATGCTATGAACATAGAAATTTTGTTATATAGTTTTGAAAGTTAGATATTAAAAAATGCAATAAAATGTCTGAAATGCAGAAGTACAGAGGAATGTTAAGAAAAAGTTATGAAGAAAATGAAAAAAAGCTGTAAAAAAAGAACATACTTTGGACACATTCAATATGCCATAGTCTATAACCAAGATAGAAGGAAAAATGAAAGCAAGGAAGAAAACAACTTCATAGTTGGATAACATTAAGGAATGAACTGTAAGTGGAATTGTATCTTTGTATCACTTGGCATTTAATAGATGTTTGTTGACTGCTAAATATATGTAAATATCATAAATTGTACTAGATATGTATTTCGGACAGATCTGTTTTAAATGGAATAAAAACAAAAAACACCGAAACTTCATTTTTATTTATTTTTTTGTTCTATATAGTCTCTTGCTCTCATTTCACTTGAATATGGGATATGAAATTATCTTTCCAAATGTATGTTCAAAATGTCAATTTACTTATTCTTAACTGAAATGCTGATAATGCAAATAAATTTTTTGCATAAATTACAATTCAGTTTTGAAATTAGGTATATTGCTATAATTATAGAAGAAATACATATTTACTTATCATAAATAATAAAACAAAGCATTTTTCTATTAACATATGACTCAAGTTTAATCATAAAATACAAATAATTAAGAGAATGCTAAGTTATCAATAAAATATCATATGAATAGAAAAGAGAGAAAGAAATAGTTGAAATGTGCAGTAAAGATTTCAGTTCAATAATTTAATTTTCCTCAATATTTTGAAGTTGTTTAATGCAAATTATACAAAATAAAATAATCAATAAAATATTCTGAAAAATCAAAAATATTTCTGCACGTAAACATAAAAATTTATGATATAATAAATAATTAAATTTAAACTTGTAAAGATTAATGCTAAATTACAAATTAACTTTTCTTTTTGAATGTATTTTTCAATACAGAAATTTGATTTTACCTGTTTTCGTGGTTTAAGATTAGTTTTCCATTCTCGAAGTTCTATTAAATGTTCTTCTTCTAATTGTTTTAATTTAAGAGTTTCATGCTCCATCAGCATTTTACGTTTTTCATTCTTATCAAATTAAAAAATTATATGAAAATCAAAATTGCTACAAATTAAATATTTAAAGTGAGCAATAATTACTTGTAACTGTTCTAATTCACGAATGGTTGTGTCTGCAGCAGCTCTCAACTCTTCTAACTGACGTTTGTGTTTTAGTTCTTGTCGTTGTTGCTCTGCTTTATATCTTTTCTTTTCTCCATCTTGAAACTAAAAATTTTTAAAGAAAACTTAAACAATAGAAAAATGTTCATACACTATAAGTTCATTTTAAAATAAGTGTATTTAAAAATTATATAATGAACAAAACATCTACTTTATTGATGCTTCTACTAAATAAATAGTTTTCAATTTTGTGCACTCCAGAATTTTACAACTGTATTTTATTTATTAAATATATAGATTCAAATGTCTAAAAAATAAACCAATCATTTGAATAGTTTTTAGAAGTTTGAATCTTTATTTGTAATAAAAATGAGTTGAAGATCTACATGTCTCAATCAATAAGAATAAATTATATTATATATTAATATAAATAATTATGATAATAATCTAAATATATTATGTTTGTATCTTGGTATTCTGTACAACATATATAATGGTGCTTAGTACTATACCAGACCAAATTTAAGGCATAATTACAGAAAACAAATATTCTTTTTATTTGCTGTTTGTGTATGTATCTGTGTTTAAGAATTTCCTGACTATGTGACATAGGTTTGGTATTGCAGCCTTCTGTAGTTTGATGTATATGTTGTTGTTCTTTTGTGAAACCTAACGTGTTTGTGGTATGATATCTGTGAAAGAAAGTACTTCTAATATAATACATATCTGATCTATTCTCAATAGTTGTGTGAGAATTCGGATGCAAGTGTAAATTTTCACACTGAACTGTGTCACATCAAAGATGACTTTTATCGTCCAAAGAAGGACTCCCCTCACAACAGGGGATCGTTCATGTCTAACAGCCGAAGAGGATCTCTACAGTTGGAGATCAACAGAGTGTACACCCTCTAAGGACATAGCTCAGCGGACATCCAGGGACACCAGTTCCATACCACCATACCGTCCTTCGCTCCATATCGCCATCCAAGGGAACTTCAATTAGAAACCGCCAATCCCAGTGCGTCATACCAATGCCCTAAACGAAGAGATCAAGTCCTAGTGAGGTAAACCCTTGTCCTCTCTAAGATGGACGTTTTGGGGGGAGAGAGTGTTCTCTCTCTCTCCCCAAAACGTCCCTCTTAGAGAGGTCTCTCTCATTCTTTAGTTTAGGATAGTTCGTAGATATAGAATAGATTCCTTTTATTATTTACGCATGTGTTATTTATGCTTTTTCCTTTGATATGTATAATCCCTTAGTTGTTTATTAAATGTGTTGTTATTGTCCAACCTGTGTAGTTATTCGGACACCTAGTCATGACCTCTCCCCACTCGATTTGCCCTCCTAAGCCATCCGACAAACTGAGAGTGGGTTTTACCAACCCGTGCAGATTAAGTGGTCATTAGGGATCATTCCCAGTGGCCCCCTGCTACCTCACAGTTGCTTTATTTCATGGGGCAAGGAGATACCATAATTCGATACACAGGCCCAAAAAATCATATTACAAACTACCTTGATTCCACTCTTCTAAAGTTCTGATTATTTACTAATTTTTTTCAGTGTACATTGTGGATAGTTTGTTACAGCTATGTCTATAATGTATGTGATTATGCTTTGTTTATTAATAAATGTAATGGTCTGTTGTGATAGATTGTTTTATCTGTGATTATGGATGGCATGGTCTTATTTTGTGTGTGTTATTTTCTATGACTGACCAAGGTATGTATTTGTAATATGTTTCCTGGGTTTGTTTGTGTATACAAGCTGGTTATGTCAATGTAAATAATCAGCTTTTATTAAAATGTTTGCAACTTAATGTGATATATTGTGTAGTTTCATGCATAATTTGGCATTTCCTACAAGTGTCGCCTGTAAGTGCTGTCTTTTAAAATGTACTTCCTGTTTCTTGACCTGGTTTGTACAGCAATCAAGAACTATTCTGTGCTTCATCCACAAATCAGCCAGCAGTTTGATGCAGTTATATCAACACAATCCTGACTGAGATTATTAGGGTACCTACTGTAGAGCTCCTTTCAAGCCCAGGTCTGTCTGATGGTGTCTGTACATTTTGTGTACTATGTTAAATCCAAGTCAGTGCTATGAAAGTTTAATGGTATGCTGTTTTTGTCTGCAAGAGTCACTGCTTTGTGTAATTATAATGTTTAAAAAACATCTACTTTATTGATGCTTCTACTAAATAAATAGTTTTCAACTTTGTGCAATTTTCTGTAGAACAATTCTTGCAGCATGTGTATTTGTTTAAAGTGAAGGCTTACCACATCAAAACCAGACAATCTACCAAGATATCAGGATTATCTGTGCAGTGTCATCCTTCCACTTTAGGAGAAAAATCAGCCTTTCTACAGAGGACTTAGTATGGTGTTTCATGTTTTATTAATGTTATTTGTGTTTCTTTTGGACTAGTTTTGTGTGTACAACATATAACTCCAAATGAATATGTCAGTACTGGAATGATGTGTTAATTGCTTTATATGTTGTTCTGCATTCAATTGTGTTGTTAGTATTGAATTTAATCTGTGAATAATGGTTAGAGTACTTATTGTGCATATGGTCTTTTCTTGCACAGGTATCATACCAAATACATTACACAAAATTCTGGAAATATTAAAGTTTTTACAACAGCATACACATCACATTACAGAACACTGTCACACTACACACATTTTATGTAGTAAATTCTTAAACACAGATATACAGATGAACAGCATATAACATAATAGCTTGTTCTGCAGCTAATAAGCTTATCTTTGGTTGGCGTAACACTAGGCACCAGTATATTTGTCCTGTAGGATATATTCTAGAAAAATTATTATTATTATTTAATTTTAGTTTTGTTTTGGTTGCTATGCCTTGACTTTGGTCTGGCATAGTACACAGTCACCAGTATCAACCGTGCATAACCCACTAAACCCAACATAATAATAATAATAATAATAATAAATTATTTATTGTAACAGATGAAAGAAAAATTTTTGTTAGCTTAAATAAAATTATTATAATAAAATTTTATAATAATAGTTTTAAAACATCTGCATCAGACTGCTATTCTTAGCTTTTTAAGCTTTAAAATTTAATTTTAAAGTTGTTTTTTATGCATATATTTAAAAATTAAACCATTTATTAACAATAGTAAAATACAGAATTTTCTTACAAAATTAATAAACATAAAATTCATAACAACAAACCTTTCTTATCTTCATTCTCTCATCATCTGGTGATTCTGTTAAATTTGTTATACTAATTCGGAGGCTCTCCTTAAACATTAGTTCTCGTGTTTTCATCTCTGACCTTATACGTTTCGGCAACTGCCTCTTTTCAACAGCTTGTTGCTTCACTAGCATTTCTTCTTTCCTCACATTCATTCTCTTTACTTGTTCTAATTCCTATTTATTAAAATCATAATTAATATTTATTATTCTTTTTTGATAGGTTTTTGAAATTAAATATTTGTGCTTTATACCTTTTCATGACGTATTAACATTTGATGACGCTGTAGAAAAAATATATCCTTCAACTGTCGCTTACTTAACTGATGTTTTTCATGAAGATGTCTCTCTTCATATTCCCATAAAGCTGCTTCTTTTGCTGTAAAAATTTAAAAAAATTTCAAATTTCTTAACTGATAAAATCATATTTAATAATTCTAAACCATTTTTTTTCCAGATATAATTTTTTTCATTTTCATTAACCATATTTTTAGATTCATGTTTAATTCCATCATTAAAGTTAACTTTATTTAATTAATTCATCATTATTATATAAGACTTTTTATCTAAAAATTATCATCTGTTGTGTTTTACAAATCTTGATAAAAGAACAGTTTCACTTTACTTAGTAATTATTTTTGCATTATATGTATTATCAAATATTATCAAACAACCATTTAGAAAAATTTTCAAGCTATTTAATTTAATGACTATTGTAATAAAATTTCTTAATAAACTAAAATTTTATGAAAATTTATGATTTGATGAAAAGTTTCAGCCTAAAATAAAAACAATATCAAAATAAGCTCAGCAACTAAATAAAGAGAAACAAAACACCTTTTTTGCCAAGAAATAAACATAATTTTAAACAACAAACGTTTTCAGCCTAATTAATAGGCCATCTTCAGGTCACCTGAAGATGGCCTATTAATTAGGCTGAAAACGTTTGTTGTTTAAAATTATGTTTATTTCTCGGCAAAAAAGGTGTTTTGTTTCTCTTTATTTAGTTGCTGAGCGCTTTTGATATTGTAACATCTTAAATGTTAAATTAGTTGACCGTTCTCATTATAATTATTAACATAAACCATCTTTACTGTTCTTGACAATGGTAATTTAAATTTAGATACAATATCTTAATTATACAAATTACATATTTGTAACCTTTGCTCTGTAAAAAGGTATGCACACTCTTTTCATCTGTTGTTTTATCTAATGCACGGGAGTTATAATTATCCCATACAATCTTCATATAAACACCTTGATAATGCAATTGTTTTTACAATTAATCCGTACATATCTTATTCCAATACAATAAATTATTATACAAATTTTATATAGTTGTGACCTTTGCTTTCTGAAAAAAGATATACATATCTTTTTCGTTTGTTACTTTATCTAATGCACGGAGGTTATAATTATCATGTAATTCTTGAGCTTCTTTGCATAAACAAAAAATATGAATTTTTTAGCATACATCATTACATATATAATAACTACAATTAAATAACTCATAAATCGACTTATTGTTTATCATCAGCTCCTTATTCTTATGTTTTANTATCAAGTAATAGTTTCGTGAATGAATAAATTCAGGTTTTTACGTAACTCAAATGTCATAAAACAGGATGTATAATATATTGTAACCATTACGATACTTTGTTTTCATTAATTTTGTTTTTATATTCCATAACATGTAAAAAACTTTATATTCTATTGACAATTGCTTTAAAAAAAACCTTTTTTTTAAAATAAGATTTACAGTTTGATGATATCATAAACAAGCTTACCTGGCCTTGTATTGAGATAATTGCGATCGTCCTTGAGAAAATTCTATAATTAAATTTACCTTGTACTTGCCATATTTTATATAAAACGATTTAAAATCTAGATAATGACCTAATTACAATAATTTCTGAGCTTTACTTTATAACAATAAATTATAATTTTTTTTAAATTATATTTTTAAAATTTTAATCTTATATTTTAAATTATTTGTTTAATAGTATTAGTGACGTAACAGTAGAACGTGAATTAAATCGTGACATAATAATAGGACTTAGTTGTATTCGCTTACAATTGTTTACGTCATAAGTTTTAGAACAATAGATTTATTTTTTGTTATATTTCTCATCTATTAATAAATATAAATGTATTATCATTATATTTTAAAAACCTATAATTAAATTTTCCATTCTATTAAGTAACTATTTAATTAATTTTTTAATTTTAATTAAGCATAATTAAAAGTTTCCTTTATATAAAACAATTTGCTTTAAAATTATAATAAATATTTGCATTAAAATATTATATTTTTTATATTTTAAAATAAATATATAATTTAAGGGAATTTATTCTTTGGGGAAATTACAATGCTGTAAAGTTATTTTTTTCAGAACTATTTTTAAAAACGTGTTCAATGATCATCCTGAATACAACGATTCACTTTATGGGGGAAGTTCATAAAAATTTTACTGGTTTTTCAGGTGTTTATTTATTATCTTGGTTTTTCCTCTTTTCAATTTTAAAAAGTGGCATCATCACAAACTTTCTAGTCTTTTTTTCCTTTTATATTAACGATTTTATTAGAATTTATCCACTGATAAGAGAATGATTCACGTTATAACAAAAGGAAAAATACATCTATTGTATCTAATTAATACACATATAGTTCTACATTCTATTTTATTTATTATAATATTAATTCCATTTCTGGAGAATAATATAAATTACAAAGTCATTAAATATTCTATTATTTCAAAATTTTATTTTAATTTTTGTACATTTTAGTATATTTATAAATTACTTGACAGTATGCGAATTACTAAATTTATGCAATTTATAAATATATTAGTCATTGTACAGGTTACAAATTTGATGTAAGTATTGTACAATAATAATTAATTTTTGAATTTACATCATCTTATATTATACTTATACCTATCAATATATTTATATATTCAGATTCTATTAATGTAAAAGGCACTTTTTAATGTCATTAATTACCAATTATAGCATTCTTTGCGTTTATTGGGTGAAAATTTAAATTTAAATATTTATTCGCCAATCAGGAAACACGATAAATAAATAATATGAATAATTTTTATTAAATAAATTGTATTTTTTTTAACAATTTAAAAGTTATAATTTTAATTAAATTACTGAATATAATTACAAAAATAATAAAATAATTATATATTAGTCTGTTTAGAATAATTATTTTTAAATTATATAAACTATTTTTATTATATAATTAAATGGGATAAAACATGAATGCAAATAAAAATGTCAATGAAGCTAGTCATTATAAAGAATATAAAGTGTAATAAACGTTGCTATAATAATTTTTAAAACAATTCTATTTAAGTTTACATTTTTTAGGATAATAACTTTTTAAATAATTATTATTAAAATATAAAATAATGATGATAAATAGTTAATAACACTGAATAAATTTCCTATTTTCTGATGTATTCACTTTATTAATAACTATTAAAGTGTTTTATGTAATATATAATTAATTTATTAAATTTATAAATAAACTAATACGTCTTACGTGCTAATTTTTAATTGTTTTTTTTATGTATACACAGAGTTTTTGTAATTCATTTAGATTATAAAACCTGAAGATACAAATACAGTACTTATATTGAGAGGAAAACAAAAATTGGATTTTTAAAAATTAAAGTACAAGAAAATATAAATTATAAATGAATTGTTCCAGTAAAATTTAAAAATAGTTAAATACCAGTATCCTAAAGTAAATAAAAAACCGGAAATGATGCACACAGTTTACTTAAAAATCTTTCGTTATATCAGCCTGTGTTGCCTGTGTTACCATACCGTAAGCAGGTAATTTGCGTATTATACAGACAATTTGTAAGTCTATTATCATCATTGTTTGTAAGCTGTATTTACAATGATTAAGTAGGCAATATATCTGTTAAATATTTAAGCAGTTTAATTATTTACTTTAACAAAATAAAACAGTGACGGATCTACAGAGGTTTAAGCCCTCCCATTGACACACACACAAAAAAAATAAATAATTTAAATTTATTTGTTCGAATATCAAAACGTTTTAAAAACAATTGATTAGAAATATGATTTATCGGAACAATAGTCGCGCGCGCGTTAATAAACAGTACTTACTGTATTAATTATTCAAATATTTTTAAATTATGAATTACCCTCTTTGGATACTTCCGGATCCGTTACGGTATATAAAATTATTATAGAAAAACTGCTACATAATTTTAAAAATGTGTTGTGAAATTTCATAAAGATTCTGATTTTATTTTAAAATTCTAAATTATTTTTTTATATTAATTACAATTACTAAATAAAAATTAATTAATTTATCTAGTTATTGTTTTATTGACCTTTTATAAATAAAAATGATAAAGTAACGACTGAAAACGAGTTAGAAAACAGAAAATTTATGACGTCTGTAGTTAGTTCTGTGCCCCCCGAGGTCTTTTTAAATAGTCAATGTCGTGTTTGTTTCCTGGATTTGGTGATACACGCTTAGACCTATATTATATACACTATATGTTTAGATCGCGATCTCAACTGTGAATATAATTGCAAATTCTTCCATTTCCGGTTTTCTTGTTTCGTTTATTCTTTCTCTCTTTCCTATGAGATTCGCAGCAATCCTGTTTATAATATAAATCCATATTTAATTGTCATAAATTTTAAACTATTCCAGAAATGGATCCTAATCCGATAAACCCGTGAAATATAAATTTGTGGTAATGAATAAATTGTGTAATTTATTGCGTACTCCTTTGCAAATTACAATTTACTTAATAAAAATGAATAGAATGAATATATTATAAGCATATTTTGACTAAAATTTTTAATTTTTATTATAGTAGGCGGTAATATATAGGCTATACATTAGCATAACGCATATAAATCATGACGTATGAGAATTAAAAAAAATCATTTTTTTAAATTATTTTCTTCGTTCTTTATTACTATTTTGGCCTATTTTTATATATTTATTTTAATATTTTATATTTTGTATTTATTTAAAAAAAAAAACAAAAACCAATTAATAACTTTAAATAATTTTAAGCTTAACGTATTTATTATTTATTTGTATAAAAATATAGCAAAAATATAAATTTATATATGTTGATTTTTTTTAAATCTCTTATTATAAATAAGAAAAAAATTCAAAATGGCATCTCATGTTATAATGTGCTGCCATCTATCGAATATTAATATAATTATCACTACATATACGCATTGCTTTTATTTTCATTCTATGTTATATTTATTAAAGTAATTTCAATAACAAATGTTTTATTAATAATAATAATGATTTTAAATTGATATAATTTATAAATAATTAGAAAATTTATCAATAATTCAA